AAAAACAGTAGACTTTAGGTATAGGAAAGCGTATACAAAAAATATTCAAAATTATTCCTAGAATACGAATTTTCAGTTCTAAGTATGGGATACCATTGAAATTATTGCAGTAACATAACCTCAAAAGTAGACCGACCGAAAACCTTCGATTGAACCGGAACTGATATTTTTGTGGTGGGACCCTTTAGTGCTTCTAAAATGAGTCAAAAATATCGTAAAAGTTCCAACCTACTATCCATTGTTTACTGTTAAAACTAAAATAGAAATTATTTTTTGACATTTTCAATCGTGATTTTCTTGAAAACTGTTTAAGTTAGGTATAGGATATTATACATAAAATATGCTTAGAATTTCTCATAGAATCCAAAAATGTAATAATATAGGTGAATGATAGTTTATAAAAATCTAAGATAGGAATGTAAAATCGGTTTTCCTCTAAAATTAACCGTTCAGGTTCTACAGCCTGTCAAAGTTGCAAAAAGTCAATTTTCAACTGTCAATATTTCCAAAACAGTTGAACTTAGGTATAGGGTATATCACATGAAATCTGCTTAGAATTTTACGTAGAATCCAAATATGCAATTTAATACGGGGTGTTCCATTTAGAATAGTGATGTTGCCACTAGTTTAGAGAAGAAGCGGCAACACCGCATGGTCAAAAATATTTTTAAAGTTTAGATCATGGTTGTTTATCCCGGTTGCCAAATTTTCAAAATGATCCGCTTTTTAGTTCTCCATAAACGTCTAATACGCCATCCACCGTGGGACACCCTGTATACCACTCATAATAATATGCTTAAAGATATGATAAGTACATCCAGAAGAAAATTTGAAAATGAAATTGCAACATCGGAATCCACTAAGAGATTTTATAAATATATTAGCAGAAGTTTTTCCAGTATCTCACATATTTCTCTAAAAGACCATGACAACGAAATTATTGTGGATGACAATATAATAGGTGCTAACCTTCCAGAGCAATTTATTAAATCATTTTCCCATAATCCGACTAGCGCCCTCTCACATCTGACTCCGGAAACAAGAACCATCAATTAATAGCATTGAATCCATAGAGTTTACAGAAGAAAAGGTATTCGCTGCATTGAATAAAATGAAGTCAGAGTCCAGTCCAGGCCCTGATAATATTCCGACAATATTCTGTAGAAGTCTGCAGATTCACTTACTCCACTACCTTCGTCAGCGTATCAGAATGTTATTGACATTGGAGTAATGCCAGAAGATTGGAAACATGCAGTTGTGACACCTCTATTCCAGAAAGGAGACAGGAACTTAGCAGCGAACTACTGGCCTTACAGCCCTGTTAGTGTATGGAGAGAAATATTGTTGAAGATCTGACTGCATTTTTTGTTGAAAACAATGTAATAACACCAACGCAACATGGCTTTATTCCGAAACGATCCACTACAACAAATCTGCTAACTTGCCTTCACCACTGGACAACAAATCACGACACTTCGCACCCAACAGGCGTTATATACCTAGATTTTGAGAAAGCCTTTGATAGAATATTCAAACCAATATATTTTTTGCAGATGACTCGAAACTACTGCAACCCACTGACACAAGAAGAGGCCGGTAGAGGACCTGTCCTCGGACCTAAATAAAATCGTGAAATGGTCCAAACTGTGGGGTATGAAATTGAATGAAACGAAATGCTCAGTATTACACATGGGTCCAAATAACCCACTAGCCAGATACCACCTCAATAACATAAGAAGAACAAAACGATTTAGCTGTTATTATTTCAAATGACTTAAAATGGGAGAAGCATATCAATAATATAATCAAAAAAGCAAATAAATTTATTTATTTTTAATACGGAAAACATTTAAGACAATTCGATAAATACCATTAATTTGCTCTATAAATCTTACATAAGACCCAAGTTAGAATATGCTTATAGCTTCTGGAATCCATACTGTGCCAAGGATATGCAGGCCTGGAAGAAAGTGCAGAGACGCGTTACTAAAATTCTATTAGAATTGAGGAACAAACCGTATAGTGATAGACTAAAAACTCTTAAGCTAACAACTCTGGGAGAAAGCAAGATGCGAGGTGATTTAATCTTATAAAATAACTAATGATTAATATTATTCGTATTGTTTAACAAACATTTTTCATTTCAATAATAATCAACATTCAAGAGGTCACTCAAAAAAACTTTCCAAAGAGAAATCTGCGAAATTTCCTAGAGAAAACTTTATTACTAATCGAATATGTATACATGAAACTCTTTGGAGGAGGTTACAGTTGGTGCGTCTAGTGTGAATGAGTTCAAAAACAGACTTGATCAAGAGATGCAAGAATCCACCTCAAGACTATTCCATTATGGACCATAGAAATAGTTTTTTGAGAAAGCCTTCTCTTCTATAGTGCAATACGTCAAATATGTGTGCTTAGAAAATTTGGCAATAGCCTCATCGGCTTTTACCGCCTGCTATTGGACAAACATAAAAATAAATAATAATAATAATAATAATAATAACCCCGTGGGGTGCGCGGGTGTTATAAAGAATACCGCCCCAGTAAGTCCTGCTTGGCGTAAAAGGCCCCTAAAAAGGACAACCGCTCATTGGGTCAGCAGCCCGATGAGCGAGATTTCTAAACTGCTCCTAACACAAACAGATATCACCAGGGCGACGAGGGGTTCCGGGCTGGCCCCTCTCGGAGTCGTCAGGAGACTCAGCCTGTAGGGGACCTCGGCGTAGAGGGTGGCGCCGAACCTCGAGATGAAAACACCCAAGAACGACAAGGAAATGATAGGCCTTTAGATGTTGGTGCACAGCCTGATGTGCTCCCCACTCAAGGGCCCGTACGACGAAAGAAATGGACTAATGAAGAAAACAGAGAAATCATGAAGTCGTACTACAGAGTAACAGCTTTGGAGAGTGATCGAACGATTTACAGACATAAACTTTACAACGATTTCATAGAACGTTTTCCACAACTTCAAAATCTAACGGAGCAGCGAATTGCGGACCAGCGCAATAATAACTAGGAATCTACTACCACAAGCAACGATCGAACAACTTAAAGAGGAAATCGCCATAGAACTGAAAAGAATTAACCCACCGGATGAAGAAGTGCACACCGCAGAAAATCAACAAAACCAAGAAACAACGGATGATATAGAAAATGATCCTTGGAACGACACTTTCCAAGAAATAAAACTGAAATACATAGGATCGAATCCCAATGCTAGACCAAAAATCCCGAAACTTATCTATAGACCGGCAACAAAGGCGATTCTATGGAGAGCAAATCACTTTCTTGAAAAAGAACTAAATAACGAAATGAACCTAGAGGAAGTCCATCTATACATATATTGCTGACGGAGGGAATTACATATTTAATCCCAAAAGGCGAGGCAACCAAAGACCCTGCAAAATACCGGCCGATTACATGCCTTCCAACTCTCTATAAAATTATCTCAGCTCTTATCAGTAACAAAGTCTATACTTACCTCGAATCTAATAACATACTCGCTATGGAACAATAAGGGTGCATAAGAAAAGCTATGGGATGTAAAGAGCAACTAATCATTGACTCCATAATATTAGAGCAGGCAACGCGTAAAAACCGCAATCTTTACATGGCTTATGTTGATTACCAGAAAGCGTTCGACTCAGTCCCGCACGAATGGCTTTTGAAGGTACTACAGATATATAATATCGACCCAAGAATTCTAAATTTTTTCGAACATACCATGAAAAACTGGAATACAACTCTAAGTATGAAGACTGAAGAACACCAGATAGAAACATCAAAAATCAACATCAATAGAGGAATATTCTAGGGAGACTCTTTCAGCGCCTTATGGTTTTGTCTAGCTCTAAACCCAATTTCCAGAACCCTCAACACAACAAACTATGGGTTCAAACTAAAAGCGGATAGGCGACACCAACGTGTCAATCATCTTCTGTACATGGATGACCTCAAATTGTATGCCTCCACCAAACCCCATATCGAATCGCTATTGAAACTAGTACACAAGATCAGTAGCGATATATCCATGACTTTTGGAGTGGATAAATGCCAGACTGTGTCGGTCATCAAAGGTAAACTCAGTCATGGAAATCCTATGCAGCTGGATGAGAGCACTGAAATATCTTCAATGGAAGATACGCCTTATAAATACCTTGGGATGCTGCAAACCAATAGAATAGAGCATACACAGATCAAAGAAAACCTAACCAGAAAATTTGAGATGAGACTGCATTCCCGGCTTAAAACAAAGCTAAACTCTCTAAATCTTACTAAAGCAATTAACTGCTATGCCATTCCAATCCTCGAATATTCTTTTGGTGTCATCAAGTGGACTACAACGGAACTAGACAACATTAACAGGCTTATACGCACTCGAATGAATAAATTTAGAATGCACCATCCAAGATCATCCATGGAGCGCGTAACTCTGCCAAGAAACCAAGGGGGAAGAGGGCTAAAGGATCTGACGTCAGCCTGCAGTGCTCAAATCCAAAGTCTGCGTAGGTACTTCCAGCACAAAAACGGAACCTTGTTCCACAGCATTAGAATCGCCGATGAGAAGTGTACTCCATTGAATCTGAGCAACCCAGAAGAATCAACCATTAAAAGCCAAAGTGATGACGAGAAGAAAAAAAAATAATAATAATAGCACAGGGACACAATTATTGTTTAGTTTAAATCATACCCAATACAGTTGCAATGTAAAAATTTATAAAACTGACAAAACACAATACCTTCTTGTTATAATTGACTTAAGATGACAAGAACATGTTGAGTATATTTTTTACCAATAAATTACTCTGTCCGACAAGCCAGCCCAGCTAGAGTTACCTGTGCATTGCTTTTCTAGCCTTTCTTATATCACCAGCATGGTTTAGTGTCTCTGGCAACCCTGGAATGTTTTGAGTGGTTTTATACATACAGATTATTTTTATTGGAGTAACACTCTGTAGATAAATTTGTTTGCTATAATCATAGAAATTTCTCTTTAGATTAAAATTGGTTTATGGGTAGATCTGACCAACACCAACAGGTTTTACGATAAAACTGAGGTCGAGGAACACTGTAAATACGTCAAACTACAATGCAGAGGTCACGGAGAGACACCTTCCAGAGAACAGACAAACATATTTATACAATTAATCCATAATTTTATTTCGCAAAACCCATTACAACAAATAGCTGTCCATTGTACTCATGGATTTAATAGGTCTGGATTTTTGATTGTTAGCTATTTAGTTGAAAAAATGGATTTCGCTCTGGATGTTGCTTTGCAAACTTTTGCAGAAGCAAGGTAATTCTTATCTTAAAAATTCAACTAATTTACTAATAAAAAAAATTGGAATTTCAGACCTGTGGGAATTTACAAGCAAGATTATTTAAATGAATTATATAATCGTTACGATGATATAGAAGATACACCTCCAGCACCAAATTTGCCCGATTGGTGTTTAGAAAGCGACGATGGCCCTGACGAAGGTGATAATTTGGAAAATGGCAACTCAGAGTCATCAGCATCGACTTCTTCTTTAGAGTATGTTATTTTTAATTTCGCGATGCAAAAATCACACTGTTGATTAGTTCTGAAAATAATTCTAGTAGTAAAAAACCAAGAGGGCGGCGTAATAAAAATGCAACTCAGGAGTTTATGGTCGGCGTTCAAAAAGTGCATTATTTCGATGAACAACCAAAAGCGTTCCACTTGCAGAGGAAAGTGCAGACTATGTGTGGTTGGTCACAAAAAGATTTTCCTGGGTGTCAACCTGTTTCAATGGATAAAAATAATATAATTCTCTTACATCAAAAAGCTTATAGGTTAGTATGTAAATACAATCCAAGAACCAATTTCTATTAAACTGTTTGTTGATGTTAGCAAAACATTATTTATTTATTATTATTTTTTGCAAACAGAGTTTCATGGAAAGCTGATGGCACAAGGTACATGATGCTTATAGATGGAGAAGACGAAGTATATTTTTTTGATAGAAATCATACTGTTTTTAAAGTAGATGGACTTAGATTTGTACATAGAAAGGACTTAAGAAGACATGTGAAAGATACTTTATTAGATGGGGTGATTATTATTCAATAATAGATTGTGCTGTTATTATTCAATTATCTGAAACAGGAAATGGTGATAGACAAAGTGGATGGTGAAGACATTCCTCGTTATCTGGCCTATGACATAATAAGATTTGAAGGACAAGATGTGGGAAAAATGCCTTTTTATCCTACCAGGCTTCAGTATTTAGAGTACGAAATAATCAAGCCTCGTTACGCAGCTATGGAACAAATGCTCATCAATAAAACATCGGAACCTTTTAGTGTTAGAAAAAAAGATTTTTGGCCAATTACTCAAGCCATTAATCTTTTAGGTGAAAAATTCGCTAAAAGCCTCAGTCATGAACCTGACGGTTTAATTTTTCAACCATCAAAACAGGTAATTAGTTAATCAAAAATAAAATGTGCAACTTTTAATTTACTCAATTATATTTTAGCCTTATATTGCCGGTAGATGTGACGAAGTCCTAAAATGGAAGCCTTTAGACATGAATTCAGTAGATTTTCGATTGCAAATAGCTAGGGAGGGTGGTGAGGGCATTGTGGCTGAGAAAAAAGGCTATCTATACGTCGGTCAATTTGATCCACCTTTTGCAAAAATGAAATACACTAAAGCCCTAAAGGATCTCAATGGAAAAATTATAGAATGCAAATTTGAGGACAATCAATGGAAGTTTATGAGGGAAAGGACTGATAAAACGTATCCCAACAGTTATAATACTGCTAAAGGTAAAAAACTGTTCTACCACATTGTGTAATTGATTTTTATAATATTTTTCTTCTAGCTGTCTGTGGTAGTATAGTTGATCCAATAACAAAAGAAAAACTAATAGATTACATACAGCAATATGGTTATAATGACGATGCGGATATGATGCCGCCACCAACGAAAAAAATCAGACGGTGACTTTTAGGAAATTAATTTTTATTTTGTTTGCACCACCTCGTCTGGATTACTCTATTGTGTTCGAATGTGTCGGTGCGAGCATCCGTTAACTATTTATTTTTTATGTTATTTTTGTATGTTACAAATGAACAATTAACTTAATTATGAATAAAATAAATAAACAATTATTATTATAATTGATAAATGATGGCAAAAATTGTTGGTAGTTTTATTCATATACCCCATTCTTCTTTATTTATTTATGTTTGAGTGCACTCTGCAGAACTAATTTCTAAATGGTATACTGAAGAAATAAGCCTAAATAATGATATGCAAATTTATGACTTATTTAAAATATAAAGAATACAGCCTTTCTAATTAAGTAGGGATTTCGCTTTTTATTACATTCAGAGCGGTATTCAAAAGATTTACATACATACATGGGAAAAATCGTTATTGTAATCAGTGACTAGACGTTCATGGTTCACAGGTTGGAAAAAGAGCTGCTTCTGTCGGGTTCTTCTTCCAGGAACCAGAAATCCAATTTCTGTCAAAAGTTCGGGCCAGTTGATAACGTTCTGCAGAATTTTGTAGAGAAAAATAAGTTGGGCTTAAGGTTCTGGTGAGGAAATCGCAGATTATAGAGCAGGTATGGATTTGGCAAATTTATTTTGCACTCTTTTTTATCCTTCTAATGTGGCATATGTAACTTGGAGTCCAAATTGGGCTGCAGTATTCAAGTGTGGATCGAATGAGACTGTAATAGTTATATAAAGGACTTCGACCCTATCCAAATTGTGCATTTTTTATATTCTCGTTTCAACTCTATATTTTTCAATTTTTTCATTTGCTTTCCGGTCCAGGTTGTTGGTGTTTGGAATGGCGATATCTATATAAACTAGGTAGTTTTTATTTTTTGTCGATGGGCCTGTTGTATTGCACTTCAATATCCGTGATCATTGTTTTATCCCAGAGTAGGTTTATGTTCTCATTTTCTATTACCGGCGATGGTTGGTATTTGTAGTAAGGGCTTGGATTTTCAATGAGTAAAGAGTGTTTCTTCGCAATTTCCTGGCATACAATTGCAGCTGCTTTGTTGTGTCGCTCAATGTATTTATTTCCAGCTAGTTTTGTGCATCCTGAGAGAATGTGTTCAATTGACTCTTGCTGTTGGTTGTTTTGTGTAGCTTCTTGTTTTGATTACTTGGTCCTGTATATCTCTGGTCCTGTATCGCAATCCCATTCTAATGATGCCTGCTTGTCCACGTTATCTCGGTTGAGATCTCTGTGGTACCGGCCATGAAGCTCTTTCTCAGCCCATTTGTTATTGTCATCATCAGTTTGGCTTTTAATGGTTGATTCTTCTTGGTTGCTCAGATTCAGAGGTAGTACACTTTTCATGGGCGATTCTCATGCTAGGCAACAAGGTTCCGTTTCTTTGCTGAAAGTACCTACGCGGATACTGCAAGCTGACGTCAGATCCTTTATTCCTCTTCCTCCTTGGTTTTTTGGCAAAGTTACGTATTCCATGGATGATCTTGAGTGATGCATTCTAAATTTATTCATTCGAGTGCGTATAAAGACGGGTATTATAAAACTTCTTTGAGAGTTAACTTAAAGTTAACTTCTGGAATTACATGTAATTCAAAAAGTTAACTTCAACTCAACAGTTAACTGTCAAAGCAGTTTTATAATACCCGCCCTGCCTGTTAATGTTATCTAGTTCCGTAGTCCACATGGCATAGCTTTTAATTGCTTTAGTAAGATTTGAGTAGCTTAGCTTTGTTTTCAGCAGGGAATTCAGACTTACCTCAAATTTTCTGGTTAGGTTTGCTTTAATCTGTGTATAATCTACTCTGTTGGTTTGCAGCATCGCAAGGTATTTATAAGGCGTATCTTCCATTGAAGATATTTCAGTGCATAGGATTTTCATGACTGAGTTTACCTTTGATGATCGACACAACCTGGCATTTATCCACTCCAAAAGTCATTGATATATGGCTACTGGATCTTGTGTACTAGCTTCAACAGCGATTCAATATGGGATTTGGTGGAGGCATACAATTTGAGGTCATCCATGTACAGAAGATGATTGACAAGTTGGTGTCGCCCATCCGCTTTTAGTTTGAACCCATAGTTTGTTGTGATGAGGGTTCTGGAAATTGGGTTTATAGCCAAACAAAACCATTAGGTACTGGAAAAGTCTCCCTGGAATATTCCTCTATTGATGTTGATTTTTGATGTTTCTATCTGGTGTTCTTCAGTCTTGATGCTCAAAGTTGTATTCCATTTTCATGGTAGGTACCTATATGTTCGAAAAAATTTAGAATTCTTAGATCAATATTATATATCTGTAGCACCTTCAAAAGCCATTCGTGCGGGACTGAGTCGAATGCTTTCTGGCAATGCTTTGTGGTAATCAACATAAGCCATGTAAAGATAGCGGTTTTTTCGCGTTGCCTGCTCTAATATTATGAAGTCAATGATTAGTTGTTCCTTCACGTCCCATAGCTTTTCTTATGCAATTTTTTTGTTCCACAGCGAGTATGTTATTTGTTTCGAGGTAAGTATATAGACTTTGTTACTGATAAGAGCTGAGATAATTTTATATGTATAGTTGGTAGGCATGTGATAGACCGGTATTTTGCAGGGCACCCGTAACGCCGCGTTATGTCGATGGATATATACGCCGTAACCGCATACCGTTCGCAAACGGATAGCAAATGATATAAGGTCTCCGGCGCCCTATTTCAGGCCCTACAACTTGTGTCAGGAATCTGTAAAACCCATCACGCGACCCCGGTGTTCTAGAGTGTGAAGAAATGCCCCAACCCCATGGTTACGCACCATGCATAGCAGGGGATCCTCGCTTCTGATTACTCCGCACACGGTACTTAAGGACTAACCGTCTATGCAGACCATCAGAGACACTCCAAACAAACTAAAGAGTCCACCGGCCTCCCTGATAACGTGGGAAGTAAATCCGTTGGACAGACGCCAGAGAATGATGGCTACGGCATCTTATGATTATTATTATTATTATTATTACTATTATTATTATTCATTTTTTATTTAATTTTTTATTTATTTTTTTTTTCAGGCTGCAGAGCTTGTTATTCCTCCATGAATGACCTGACGATGTGTATGGTATCCAAGATGACGCACTTATTTGCATTGGTTGGTAGGTATTCCATGGAATGCCGATTTGTTGGATGCTTCCTTTCAAATTTTTAGCTGCATAAGCGTTAGAAGACACTTCAAATTATAGTGCATTTCAAGCGAATCACTAATCAGTATTTATTGTTCGACTGTTAGAGAAATTGTAACGGTCTTACTTGCTTAATCCGGTTCATGCAGATAAATCCACGAGGCGATTATTTATCCATTTATCACTATTCACACTGGCAGCCAGGGAATTTTCCGCCGAGATGAAAACACAACGATATGCACATGTAGGCGCGTTGGAGCCCGGCGAGAGTGAGAGAGAGATCCAAAAACAGGCGCTTATGAGAGAATTTTGCTCGTCCGAGGTGATTTGCAATAATTAGGGGTTAATTACATGAATTGTAATCAATAATATAGACCATGTCAGGCCTTGTGACATAAATCGCGCGTACCAACGGGGGTTTTGGAGGTTTTGCTTCTGGGGAGCATCAGAGGGCGCGAACTCTTCGCTTATTCTAATGTTACTGAAGAGCACCAAAGCCCACAGATGACGTGATGACTGGTATGATTCTCACTTCGTCGAGGTTCCACATCTCTAGATTTTTTTTTTTTTTTGTTTGGCCTTACTTACGGTCCCGCGGCTCCGACACTTACACGGGTGCAAGTAGGCCTGGTGTTCCATCCACCGTTCTACTCCCCACCAACCGCGAGGTTAGTAGAAACGGTGTTCCGCATCGTGTGCTCTGAGTAGACGCAATGATCCCAGGATTACCGCTTTCTGCATCATGCCAGCAAGGTGTTCCGCTTTATCACGACACACTGGCAAGGTCTTGAGAGCCGAGAGCAGTGTTTGTCGTGCACCTCCAAGAGCCCCAATCACCAAAACCACTAGCTTGACAGTATAGCCCCGGTACATTCGGCGAAGGTCAAAGAGAAGATCCTGATATTTCGTCCGTTTCTCTTCCTCCTTGGCAATAATGTTCGTTTCGGCAGGAGCCGAGAACTCAATGACATACATAATTTTGTCATTTTTGACAAGGAGTACTATTAGGCAATTCAATCCATCTGTCAAAAAGGAAAATTCAATGTGACGTGGCGGCCAAGCAAGTTTGTTTTGAATATGTTTTTATGCGTATTTTAAATTATTTTACATACGAGCATGTAGCAGTATTTGCAAATGGAAAGTAGCACTTTACCGCACACTATGCGGTAAAGTTAATTTTACAGCATAGTGTGCGGTAAAGTGAACTTTACAGCATAGTATGCCGTAAAGTGGACTACAAAGTGTGCGGTAAAGTGCACTTTACCGCATAGTGTGCGGTAAAGTAGAATTTGATATTTATAATCAAAAATCCTTTTTTTTTCCAGAAAATGGATTTTTGACAATTTCTAAATCTAATCTAATTTCATTCATCAATCTGATTCAATAATTAATTTTATCAATGCCCTTTTTTGGAGATGTAGATGCTCATAGGTAAAATTTTGTACCTAACACATGCGGAAAGTGCCTTTACCGCACGCAACGGCAGTTGACCGAACGACGCGAAGCGGAGTTCGGTCAACTGCCGTTGCGTGCGGTAAAGTATCACTTTCCGCATTTGTTAGGTAAATAACTATTGCATACAGTTTTGCTTACAACTTTGATTTTCATTATTTAATAAACTATTTTTTGACTAGGTACCTAAGCTATTAATTCGGGCAGAAACTAGATATTTTTTTGTGCTTTTTGTCCCATGTGTGGCCGCCACGCCATCTTGAATGTCACGTGGTTTGAATTGCCTAATATCCGGCCTGTTAGCTTTTACAAGCCGGAGAGTGGGGAATGCGAAATTCCAGTATATTCTGGCTCTGTCATTCTCCACTACGGACGGAACATCAGAGGGGACATATGGCAGCACTGGAGTGTCATCAACACCGTACGAGTGCCTTAGGTGGTAATACAGCACCCGTCCGCAAACAGACAGCAGATGATATAAGGTCTCCGGCGCCCAGGGCAGGCCCTACAACTTGTGTCAGCCAACCTGTATACCCATCACGCGACTCCGGTGTTCCAAAGTGTTG